GGTTTGTGCGAAGAAGCGGAGCAGCCCGTTGGCGGGAGCAGTGCTGAGGGCCGCCCGGGGCGGCTCGCTGCCTGGCGTGAGGGCTCCGAGAGGGCCTAAGCTGTGAGGAAGCATCGTGGCGTACAGGGCCAGGAGCCGGGAAAGGGGTGGCATCACGCTCAGGGTGTAGTTTGGTAAGAGAGAGGCAGTATTTGAGAGGGCTGTAGTTCACACACAGCGCTGTGGGACGTGGTAGTCTTCTGAAGACTGGCTTTTGCCCCTGCTCTGTACTCCTCTTGAGACTGTGGTCGAGTCACCTCGCCGCCCCTGTTCCTCAGACATCCAGTCCGAGTAACCTCCCTTTTTCGCTAAAGAACGGCGGCAAGAGCATAAGTATTGTTAGGTATCCAGCTACAACGATAACTGAAGATATAAAAGTGCCTCCAATACGGAGCATGACTAAGAACTTGTCTGTAGATTACTGTGTGCTTCTTCAGCCAATTCAGTTAAATCATTGAATGTTTACCCATAAGTTAATCTGTTACCCTGATCTGTTGCCCAACCAACCTTAAAACCAGAGTGAGAGCATCTGACTCAGTACTTCACCGTGTTTTAACTAAATAATTACAAATACTAAATGTTAAGTTTAACTTGTATGATTCACGCTGTTTACTGCAGGACTGAAAAGATGTTTGCACACTATGAAACGCAGGGAGCACAGAGCTGCCATCCTCAGTCCCAAGCTTTTAAGGATATTTGCAGTGATGGTGAGTTACATCATACCAATTGCCTTACAAGGTATAAGTAAAGTTTAAAATCAGTTTTGGACCGAAATTCCCTGACCCTTTTGGGGGATCATTTTAGCATTGCATTACCATGTCAGAGAACATAAACGTTTCTAAGTGCCCAAGACAAAGTTCAGTCGTTAGCAGAGGGGCTTTGATGTAATTGAAAACGTTGGACTTCCAGGGAGTTTCCTTAGCGAGTACAATCCCTATTTAATGCCATCTAACCGCTTCTCAGAAGATCGTCTTCCAGATGTGTTTTGTGCTGCCCTGGAGGTAAAACACACTATGAAACTGGTTTTCCCCCTCCTCTGTGAAACCTGCACGGCAGATAGGAAGCACAGCTGCTTTGTTCGCAGGAAAGATGTCACCCCCCGTTTTACCAGCTCTAACTGCCTATACAAGGCAGTGCAAGGCGATAAATCGCGCTGGAAGCGTCTCTCCCCTCCCTGCCCCGGAGACCTGCTGGAGCTTCGGAGGGCGGCGGGGCGGGCGCCGCTGCGTTACTCCCTTTTTCTTTCCCTTTATAGGAAAAGTATGCGCGGCCCGGGGGGGCGCTGCCCTGAGTCACCGGGGGCCGGGGCCGCCGCCCACGCGCAGGG